GTTCAAAGGATCTTATCAGACTCTATGAACCATTTTATTCTATGCTTCCATTATTTTTAGTTATTTAATTTTTTTATTTTTTTCTAAACACATAATGTATTATTAGCCCCAGGGGTATAGGTTTACACACCTCATAGCACTACCATAGCACATACCCTCCCCAATGTCCATAACCTCACCACCCTGATTCCATTATTTTTTAAATGTCCATATTTATCTACCTATTTATTTATTTATTTTAGTGGGGGCATAAAGAGAGAATCTCAAGCAGACTCCCCACTGAGCGTGTAGTCTGACAAGAATGCAATCCCACAACCCTGAGATCATGACCTGAGCCGAAATCAAGAGTTGGACATTCAACCAACTAAGCCACCCAGGCACCCCTAAATGTCCATATGTAAATAGTCTAATAAAACATACCCAACATAAACTACATTGAATGTAATGTTTCTCTAATTCAGATAGTACTATATTTTTTTTATCTCCATATATAAAGTTAGTAGTATTCAAACTGATCTGGATAAGTTTTTTTTTTTACAAGGAAATAAAACAATTTAACTTAACATTTCTAATGTTTCAAATTATCTTGTACTGAATAGGAGTTATACTTTTTCCTTTCCCTATACACTTATAGCCACAGTAAAAAAGTTTTAAATGTTTTGATAAAATCTTTTTTTTAAAGATTTTATTTACTTATTTGTCAGAGAGAGAGAAAGAGAGAGCACAAGCAGGCATAGTGGCAGGCAGAGGCAGAGGGAGAAGCAGGCTCCCTGCTGACCAAGGAGTCCATTGTAAGACTTGATCCTAGAACCCTAGGATCATGACCTGAGCTGAAGGCAGCCGCTTAACCTACTGAGCCACCCAGGCGTCCCTGTTTTGATAAAATCTTTAAAGGTAACAGAATAATTACAAGTTTTCCCACTGACAACTATCAACATAGCTTACATGGTTATCTTTCTGGTCCCACAAAATGCTTTTATTTATAGAATCCCAAAGACTGTGTATTCATTTTAACATGTTTCCTTTCTAAGCTATTTGAGACTACTTAAAGACATCGTCACTAAAAAGTAATCAAGATTAAAAGGACAAGGGGCAATAGGGGGAGGCAGAAAATAAGTACTTCTCAAAATATTTAACATAACAGTATGATAAGCCACAGTATTTTTTGTTTGTTGTTCAGGCTATAGGTATGTGATTCATCATCAGTCTTCTGTAAGAAGACTCACTACAACACATACCCTCCTCAATGTCCATCACCCAGTTACCCTATCCCACTACCCCCCGCCTTCCCCTCCAGCAACCCTCAGTTTGTCTCCTGTGATTAAGAGTCTCTAAGGTTTGTCTCCCTCTCTGGTTTCGTCTTGTTTCATTTTTTCCTCTCTTCCCCTATGATCCTCTGCCTTGTTTCTTAAATTCCACATAGCAGTGAGATCATATGGTAATTGTCTTTCTCTGATTAACTTATTTCGCTTAGCACAATATCCTTTAGCCACAGTATTTTAAAACAAGCTGAAATTTTTAAAGAATATACAATACTACTTTACATTTGTGCAGCAATGTAGAGTTAAAACATTTTCCACACATTACCTAATTTTATCCTCAAAGGGCAACTCTTCATTTTATGGAGGAGGAAACCATGTATCAGATTTGTTAAATAATAACTTTAAGGTCAGACAGCTGGTAAGTAGTGATCCAGAAACTAGTTTCTCTGGTCTTAGTTTATAACACAGGACACACTGTGTTATATTTAAGCAACCTTCTATTAACTAATGGAACTGAATGGAAAAATTCATTCTACAATTATTAGGATAAACATTATAAAGCAGTGCTTCTCAAAATATGGTCTCAGAACCAGCAGCATCACCACCAACCACCAGGACCCACACAGACATACTGAATTAGTAAGTATCAAATTAGTACTCTAGTGATGAGTCCTACAGTCTGTGTTTTTACATGGCTTCAAGGGGATTCTGATATGCAAAAAAGTTTAAGAATCACTGCTATAAAGCAGTTAAAAGAAATGAGTAGAAGATAGTTGAGTTTTATTCACCCTGGCTTTGGTTTCACCCACCCATTTATTTTAAGAATTCTTGGATGAGTGAGTGCATACTAAAAAGGAATTCCTTTGATTTTCTAATAATGAATACCCAGTAATACAGAGTTTTTGAGGCAATTATTTTAATAAATTAGGGCTTAGAAACAGTTTGCTTCATGTTGGCCTTCAACAGTAGAATCAAGAAGTAAATTAATTAATTCTCAATTATTAAAGAAAACACACCTGGATGAAAAAAATATTAAAGCATCAAATTAAGAAATATTAGCATACTCAAACTAAAAACCACATAGTGCTTAACTGTGAAATACTTTGCAATTAAAGTGAGAATCATGACAAGCATGACCACAAACAGCAAAATATTTTTTTTACACTGCTTTGGAAACACTAGACAACGCAAATAGACAATATTGGATATCGTAAGAAAAGTCATCACTTCTGAGCTGAAATAAGCTAAAAATCAGATGATGAATCTGTTCAGTGATAGGTTTTTAAACTATGTAGTCCTAGATCTTTAAAACTTTATTACTGAAATTCTTGTGGGAATTACTTTCTCTCTAGCCATTAAGTCTCCCTATTCCTTCAGAATGGGTTTTATAAAAATTTTTGAAAACTACAGAATCACAACCACTGCCTTATATATAGAAAGATTAAAACTGGAGGAAATGGGTCATTGGGAATTAGCATAAAAAATACAGATTTGAAGTACTTTGAAAGAAATAAAAGTTTATTCCTTCTAGGTACATTAAATAACTAGAACCAAGTGAACACAACTGATAAGGCACAGGACTTACTTAATGAACAGGAAAGAAAGATTTACTGAAAAATAACTGATTATACACAAGTTATATGCCTGATTCCCAAAGTGTATTAAATATTCCCTCACATAATATTATGCTATCAACCTGCTTAGCAGCTTTTCACCCAATGAAAATACAAATACAGACTTCAAAATAATACCAATACAATTCAACAAATTCCATCATCTATACACTATGAACAATTTAGATCTACCTCTCAAGACATTATTTTGTCTTAAGTATAGTTTGTAGGACAACAGTATTTACTCAGTGCAAACTAAACTGGTAATCTAAAGAAAAACCTTATAAGTGAAATAAATAGTTTATTTTAATAAACACATTAGAACTTATACATCCAAACTGCTGTCTCCTTCAAAGCAGCATGTAGGAGGATATGCATCAATTATCATAATAGTGCCAGTATTCAGAAATATTTGTGGAATTCATTGTTTGCAGTTCTTTCCTGCCTGTTTCTTTTAAATGAATAACCCCATAGAAGGAAAAATCTCTAGAAAGGGAATCGGGAGTCTAACCGCCAATTAATCACAGTTGGCACAGAGCCAAGTATGAAGAATGGTATGCAACCACAAAACAAAACTTCTTAACTTTATTCCTTCTTTGAACCATTTCAAATTGTGTGTAAGTTTATTTTAGAAAGAGAGAACACAACTCTCATTAGCCTCCAGAAGCCTGCAACCCAAACTATAAAGATAATATAGGATCAATTAAAAACAGTGATTTGATCAATTATGACTATATGTATGTGTGTGTGTGTATGTATACATATACATATATATATGTCGAAGCAACTTTTAACAAAAACATTTATTAAAAAACAAATGCACCATAAACTAATGATGAATTTTATGGTGACTAACATAACACACACAAAAAAAGAAAAATAATTATAGTGCAACATGAACAGTCATGAGCATTATAAAAGGGAAATACAGATTAAAGAACAAATATGGCTAACACAATGTCTTATGCATGGTAGCTGCTCAATAATTATTTGTAGAAAAATTTTTAAAAGCACAAATGCAGAAATTACTTTGAAAATAACATTCCTTTGGATGTATATATTCTACTAGGTTTACTTTTTCATACCCAATTATGTGACTTAAGAACCGCATTTTATACAGCTAAGGATTAAATAAAAATACAGAAGTTAAATAGAATGCTACAGTAACCTAAAGTCACATGGCCTAAACATGTGACAATAGGGATGAATAAATGTGAATTCCATGAACACCTCAAAAGAAAACCAATGAAACAATCTCACTTATCTAGGGGAGGAGAGGCTGTCAGCAAGCGGAGTTCTGGCTTGCATAACTGCATAATAGAGGTACCATTAACTTAGACACAAAATGCAGTTTTCTCACTATGTGAGAGAGTAAGGGTAAAGGAGCAGGGGTGAAGAAAAGGTATGTTTTAGTAGCGTTTTATTTTAAGCCATTGAAATGTTCAAGTGGCACTATTCAGTAGATACTAAGACATAAATTTGAAAATCAGGACATCGTGTGGCAGACTATATTAGTCTATACATGGTCAATGGTCACTATATTATCTCCTATCCCACATGGCTTCTGCAAAGTAACCTTGCAGGACTCCCTCCAAGATACAAAATCTAAATTCTCCTCACCTTGAATCAGGGCTAGTTGCAGAGATACATTTATAAGCAGCAGAATGCAGTTGGAAGTTAACAGAGGACAACTACCAACATGAGGTCAAAGAAGGGTAAGCAGCTACTACTTACCCATTACTGCTTCTGTTATAATGCTAGGTCTCCAGATACCTACTCTTAGAATCCAGCAGCCCTGACGTGAGAAGCCTAAGCCCCAAGGAGATTCCGTCAACAATCCCAGCTGAGCCCAGCTCTCAAGTCATTATAGCCCAGGCACCAGACTTCTAAGTAAAGAAGCCTCCAAAGGATTCTTGTACCCAGCCAATCACATCTCAGCCAGTCATTTGAATCTCCTCAGCTTAGGCCCCAGACAATGCGGAACAGCAACATGCCCTAATTGAAATCCTGTCACACAGAGAATCTGTAAGCATTAATAAAATAAAATTCTATTATTATTGATCTCAACTGCTTGAGTATCAGTGGAACTTTGAGAATAAAGGTGAAAGTGAAGGTTCCACCATTAAACAACAAAAGCCACCTAAGGGATAACTTACAAATAACTCAAACTTTGAATTTCCAAATTTAACTTTACACCTTTAAATTTTTTAATTACTTGTAACAGAAAGGCACTGTATAACTCTAAAACTTTTCAAATTTAGGTCTTCATCTCTGGCCAAAGATAATGTGTAATTTAAGTTCTCTAATGAATTTAAAAATTTTTTCCATAATAAACAACTTAAAACTAGGATTTAAAAAAATTCTAACAGACTGAAACTGATTCTTGAATGTCTGGCACATAAACTATACTGAGATCCTTGAGAAATATTTTCTAAGATGATGAAAACTAAAATTAGCCCACCAAAATCGCATGAATAGGAACAAGTTTAATAAACAAAAAAATCTCATATTTGTGTATTTTACAATTGGCAGAACAGTTTTACATATATCTTAGAATAGCATTCAGTATTACCAGCATGCCCACTTAACAGATGAAAAAGCCTGAAGCAACTTACACAAGATGACAAGAGGTGTACCGAGTGACTTAAGTGTGGTTTTGATAAGAACCAAGCCGAAATCAAATGGCTGAGTTTTAACAACTCATTAATGAAAAATATTATTACTCTTACAATGTTATCATAATTATTTTCTAATAAAACCACTGTGCTGCTTATTACTTCAGAAATAGAAGGAATCCTATTTCAAAAACCAAAACCAGAAATGTGACTTGAGTGATAAATATTCCAAATCAACAATTTTCTTTTCCATTCCAGACTTTATGTATAAAAAATATTAAAAATACAAAATGAAAATCTCAATACAATTCAGACCAGTGCCTGCCTAATTCCACTGAAGTATTAAATATAGGTAAAGCAAATATAAGAAAACTCAGTAAGTGAAAATAAGCATTCAAAGAAATAATGAATTATGAAAATGATCCTTTAATGGGACTTAATATTTAGATAGAAAAGAATGCAGTGGCTGTTCAGAAAAGAACAGAGTTATTGTTCCAAGTGCTAACACCCCTAGTGGTAAATAAACAATCAGATATTTCATAGATTCTGCACAGTATAAGATATAAAGAAGCAGTATTATGGGGGTCATGGAAGGAATACTGTATTTTAAGTCAGGGCCCTGGGCTTGGTCAAAGAAGTGGAATACAATAGAAAGAAATGGGCTGAAGGCCCAAAAAGACAAGAGTCAAAATCCCAGGTCTGTCACTGCATAAACTTTTTAAACCTCATTTTACAGATTTTTAAAAAAGGGGGGCGCCTGGGTGGCTCAGTGGGTTAAAGCCTCTGCCTTCGGCTCGGGTTGAGATCCCAGGGAGCCTGCTTCTCCCCCTGTCTCCCTCTGCCTGCTGCTCTGCCTACTTGTGCTCACTCTCTGTCAAATAAATAAAGAAAATCTTAAAACAAAACAAAACAAAACAAAACAGGGATGATAGTATCTAGTTGTCTATCCTGTAAGAATATTAGGTTTATTGAAGAGGTGTGAAAGTGCTTTGTTTGAGCTAGATTTAATCTTTTTTTTTTTTTTTTTTAAAGCAAAGTTTTAAATATGAAAAAGTACAAACAGGGGTGCCTGCCTGGCTGGCTTAGTTGGTTAACTATCTGTCTTCAACTCAGGCCATGATTTCAGGGTCCTGGGATGGAGCCCCATGTTGAGCTCCTAGTGCTGCCTGGAGCCTGCTTCTCCCTCTCCCTCTGTCGTTCCCTATGCTTATGATCTTTCTCTCTCAAATAAAATCTTAAAATAAAAAAGGACAAACAATATAAATACTGAGTAACCAACCACCCAAACAATTTTATGAAAGCATTTTATAAATGTATAACTCTTCCCAATTATAAGGAGGCTTTTAGAACAAACTGCTATAAGTTTGGGTTAGTAAAAGTATTTAAATTTGGGGGGCGCCCAGATGGCTCAGTGGGTTAAGCCTCTGCCTTTGGCTCAGGTCATGATCTCAGGGTTCTGAGATGGAACCCCGCATCCGGCTCTCTGCTCAGCAGGGAGCCTGCTTCCTCCTCTCTCTGCCTGCCTCTCTGCCTGCCTGTGATCTCTCTGTCAAATAAATAAGCAAAATCTAAAAAAAAAAAAAAAAAGTATTTAAATTTGGGATAGACGTATGTATAGTCAAAGGCTCCATTTACAATAGACAATAGAGGAAATTTTCAAAGCAACACATATGCTATATATAAATGCATGAACACTTGCTAAAAGAATTTGCTAGGAATAGTACTAGTGTTTGCCTAAAGGGAAAAAAATTAAGTGACTAAATAATAGGAAAAAACATTTTTCATCTTTTTCTTTGTACTTTTTAAACTTCACACTATACGTATATTTTAACTATTTTGAGAAATTAAATTAAAAAATCAAGCAAACAAGACAATAAATATTTTCATAAATATTTTAATGTTTGGCTTAATATTAAAGGCTGATATCTACTTACTTTTAAATCTAGAAGTAGTAATTTCCAATTTCAATGTTCCTTAAAAATACTATTATAAAATTTTTTTTGCATTATTTTTATTGAGATTTTTAGATCTTAGGGACTACTTTTCCTCATAAAAGCAGCTCTAATCTTAAAGGAAAAATGACTTAACCTCTAAATATTTACACTATACAAAATTTTTCAGGGTGTCTGGGTGGCTCAGTAGTTAAGCATCTGCCTTCAGCTCAGGTCATGATCCCAGGGTCCTGGGATCGAGCCCCACATCGGGCTCCCTTCTCTGCGGGGAGCCTGCTTCTCCTCTCCCACTTCCTGTGCTTGTGTTGTTCCCTCTCGCACAGTCTATCTCTCTCTCCTTGTCAAATAAATAAAATCTTTAAAAAATTTTTTTCAGCAATGTATCTAGTCTATAAATAAGTTATGCTCATTGTAGTCATAATAAAAAACATCTCATGTAATAATACATTTATGATTTTATCAGAGGGCTTACCAGTAGTTAGACAGTTAGACATAAATAAAATTATTCTCCAAAAGAAGTCTCAGTAAAATTATCTTAGTATAGAGTAGCAAAATTTTACACATATGTACATTAAAAAGTATAAGGAATAAGAATTAAATAACTGATGCAGCACTGAGTGTTTTGAGTTAAATACCAAATATTCTTATAGTCTAGCATACAGACCTTGAAATAAGAGCAATCTACATATACTTTGAAGAATGACATGTAAGTCAAAATTTGACCCATCACAAACACATATGAAAACACTAAATCTGCATTTCTCATAACTGTATGGCAGAACTTACTGAACACATACATTCACAATTTTAATCTCCAGAAGCACCACCATCCAGTCTATATCTTGGTTTGTCCTGGCACTTAACAACAAAGTTGCAATACTAAGGTAGAAAATCAAATGCTTGATTCTGCCCTTCCAAAATATATTCCAGACTTTGAAAATGTCTTTTTTGCATCTCTTAACTGTAAACAGACTTGCATACTGATAACCACACTTTTTTTTTTTGATACGACACTTTCTGTAGCACAATTTTCAAAAGCATGATAAAACAAGTTAAGTTATACATACGCATATTGTTAGGCTTCTAATACAACTCTGTATTTGAGGAATCATTTCATTGACTCAGTCTTTCCCTTACAGTTTTGATCTATAGTTCCCCCATCTCTATCCCCTCAATTAACCATCATTTCCCCCATGAGGTAACACAGGAGATTTTATTCTTCTTAGTAGTGCTCTTCACTTATCTAATTACTTGCTCTGTGTCTCCATTTCCCACCAGATTGTAAACTCTGCAAAAAAAAAAGGACCCACCCTGTCAGTCTTATGCATCAATTCATCTTTGGTTCTTATCACAAGCTGCACATAGTAACACCTAATGTCTACTGAGCGGCTACCAAACATTGGGTACTACTGCAGGTGATTTCAAAGTATCTTATTAGATCGTCCAGCAACTTTGAGATAGATGCTTGTTTTTCTGATTTATACAAGGAAAACAGAGATACCTAAGTGACACACCTGGGGCTACACACTTAGTGACAGGGCCAATGTTATTAACATAGTGGACACTCAGTAAATGATTGCTGAATGAGTAAGTGAATGATCATAAAAATCTAGTAGAGGATGTAAGTTATACATGAAAACAATTTTTAAAATTCAATATAACTTCAGGCTACTGAAATTGATAAAGGGTAGTCTGTAGACCTTAAAAAAAAAATTCTAAAATTTGTAAATAAGTCTATGGCAAATAATTCGCCTCATAAGGAGAAATGCAGGCAGTGGCTAACCTCAATTACTGGCTAAGTGACTTACTCCTCAGACCAGGCTTGAAAAGTAATACAAAACTGACTCAAATTCATGCCTCAGGAAAATCATAAATTACTATACCCACATCAGAAACTCAATATTCCAAAGTGTAAATTTTAAGTCCACCAATGCCAAGATTGTTCTACTTCTTAAAAATAATTAAGTACTAAATTTCAAGGAACAAGTAATAATTCATCTAAGAGGCCAGAAAAGTCAGAAGTAAAAGTAATAGCTAAGCAGGAAAGCCCTCAAAAAGAAGGTGCTACCTGAACTAAACCTCAAGGAGAAAAAAGAATTTAGGGAGGTACAAAGTACTGGTTAAAAAAAAAAAAAAGGAATGACAAAGAGCAAGTGAGATGAATGTGCATTGTGCATGGGGTGTTCAATTGGTAAAGATAGATAACCCTCAATAAATGAGAAGATAATCAACTTAAAAAATGGACCAGAAGATCTGAATAGACATTATACATCATATAAGCGAGATACATTAATGGCTAACAGGTACATGAAAGGATGCTCAATATGATTATTCTAGGGAAATGCAAATCAAATCCACAAGATGCTATTTCACAGCTCCAGAATGGTTATTTTACATTCTAAAGATATACAATAAACAACTGTTGGAGAGGATAGGGAGAAATGGAAACCCTTATACATTGCTGGAGGTAAATAAAATGCTATATATGTTCATAAAAAATAAAAAATTAAAAAGAAAAAAGAGAAAAGAAAAAAAAGAAAAAAGAAAAAAAAAGTTAAACATAGTTTGCTATATAACCTAGCAATTGCAAACTTAGGTACCTAACTAAAAGAAATAACATATATACACACACAGACTTCCATGTGCAGCTTTATTCATAATTGTCAAAAACTGGTAACAATCTAAGTGTCCACCAATGTGTGAATGCATAACCATATCAACTCAATACAATGGAATGCTACTCAGCAATAAAAAGGGACTAAATATTGTTAACAAGCTAGCACCAGGATAAAACTCATCATAAAACATTATGCTAAGAAAAAAGTCATACACAAAAGATTACATATTATATGATTCAATTTACAGGAAATGTCCTCAAGGGGCAAATCTACAAAGATGGAAAGTAGGTAAGCGGGTGCTGAGGGTAGGTATGGGATTAATAATTAAGAGATATGAGGGATTTTATAAAAGTGTTGGAAGTGTTCTAAAACTGATCTACGATGATGGGTACAGAACTCATTAAATTTACTAAAAACAACAACAAAACACTAAGTTGCACAATAGAAATAGGGGAATTATAGGACATGTAAAATATACCTCAATAAAGTTGTATTAAGACAAAAAAAGACTTCCATGATTGGATGTAGAGCGCAAATGCCATTTCATGTATATTCTGTAAGTAAACGCAGCCCAGTAAAGGGACTCAGCTAAAATGTAGGAGCCTTAAGCCCAGAAAACCAACAAAAAAACCTCCCATAATTGTGACGTGCTATGCAGGCTCCTGCATCAGAGGACAAAATTTTTTTTTGTTCTCTAAAAATTATTTCCTTCAGAAAAAAGAAAGCCATCTTATACTTGAATCCTTATTAAGTATCCCTTTCACAGTACATACACTCTTTTAACAATTTTTAAAAACTTTTATTATGGAAATTCCAGACACATTCAAAAGTAAAGAATAAATAATATAATGAATCCCATGTTCCATTATCCATCTGGAACAACTACCTTTTCACCTAAACACCCCGAACTACTTCATGCGCTCATTCTTTAACGAATTCAATTAAAGCAAAATCCAGGTATAAATCCATTTACAAATATTTCAGCATTAAATTACATTTAAGTTTCTTTTAAAAAACAATTATAAAAGTAACCCAAGATCACTTTAGAAAATCTGGAAACTACAGAAGTATATAAAGGAGAAAAAAAAAAAATACCAACCATAATCCCACCATACAGAAAACTCTTATTAACCTTATAATGCATAATGTTACCCCTACGCACATTATTTTTAATGTAAACTTACATAAGTATAATATATATTATGGAATGTGTATGAATTTCAAGTGTTCAGTTTGATAGATTTTCCTTTACCAAGATAACTGCATTAGTTGATACTTTCCTTTGAAAAACTGAATGATTTAAGCAACTGCCTTAATATTATGTAGATACTTATGGTTTTGTACATAAACTGTCTATATATACATCTCCTTGCCAAACACAATGTAGGGGATAAAAACATTTACTGACTATATATACTGTGTCATTTAATCCTGTAATAACCCAAAGAACTAGGCATTACAGATGAGAAAGGAGACCCAAAAGACTTGATTACTTTCTTGTCTCAGATCTAACAAATGGCAGAATCAGAAACATTATTAAAAAACTGTCAGGGCTTTTGTCTACCATATCATGGCATCTATCTAAATGAACAGTATGAAGTAAACAGAAAGAATGCTGATTCTTCTCTTATTCTAAGACTACTAGTTCTTTTTGCTTTTTGTACAACACTTATAACCACCCTAGACAATCTAAATAATAATGTAACTTCTTTAAAAGAGTAGCTTAAATAAAATGTGCAATAGTGCAGAAAGTCTTAGGACATCACCAAAGTAAAAAAAGAGAATTCTAATAACCAAACAACTCAAATTTCTTTAGAATTTTGTGTGTTTACTAGCAAATTCTAATATTTTAAGTTTTATCTTTGGTCCTTACCTTATACCATATTAAAAAAAACACACAAAAAATAAAAAATTCAAAATGCATCAAAGACCTAACTATAAGAGCTGAAACTTTAAAACCCTTATAATAAAATATAGAGGAAAAGCTTCATGAAACTGGATTTGGCAATGATTTCTTGGATAGGACACCCAAAGCACAGGAAATAAAAGTAAAATTAGACTACATCAAAAGTAAAAACTATGTATAAAAGGACATAATTAACACAGCGAAAAGTCCACCTAAGGAATGGGAGAAAACATTTGCAAATCATATATCTCAGAAAGTGTTAATACTCAGAATGGTATTTAAAAAAAAAAAAAAAAAACCTACTACTACCCAACAATGAAACAAAAAACCTGATTTAAAAATGAGCAAAGAACGTGGAAACACATTTCTCCAAAGAAGGTAGACAAATGGCCAATAAGAATATAAAAAGATGTTCAACCATCACTAATAATTAGGTAAATATAAATCAAAACTACAATGAGATACCACTTTATCATCATTAGGATGGCTTGCTGTAAAAAAAGAAAAGTAAAAAGGGTTGGTGAGGATATGGAGAAACTGAAATACTGCTGGACTATTTATGGGAATATAAAATGGTACAGCTGCTACTCACGACGGTAGGGAAATCCCTGAAAAAATTAAAATATGATATGATCCAGTAATTCCACTTCTGAGTATACACCCCAAAAAATGAAAAGCAGGGTCATGAAGAGACAGCTGTACATCCATGTTCTTATAGCAGCATTATTCATAACAGCCAAAGATGGAAGCCACCCAAGTCTCCTTGACAGACAAATGAACAAACAATAAATGTCGTATATAAATACAATGTATGTATTATACATTTGGCCGTATAAAGAAAGGAAATTCTGACATATGCTATAACATGGAACCTTGAAGACATTATGTTAAGTGAAGTAAACCAATAACAAAAAGACAAATATTGTATAATTCCACTGATATGAATTACTTGTAATAAATTCATAGAGACAGTAGTTGCCAGGGGTTAGGGGGACGAGGGAGAAGAGATAATTATTTAGTTCTACAAGACATAAAGAACTCCAGAGATTAGTTACACAACAATGTGAATGTACTTAACACTACTGAACCACACACTTAAAAATGGTTAAGACGATAAATTTTATGGTATGTGTATTTCACCACAATTTCAAAAGAAAAAAACATAATTTGTTTTGGCCAAGATGTAGTAAGTCCCATCTTCACAAGTCCAACCTCTTAGAACTAGGAAATCCTAGAGCATGTAATACAACAAAGGAAGACTGAATGGTAGAGAAGGCAAAGGTAAAGAAGGGCCTTGAGACTGGAGGAATAACAGAGTGGTGAATTCCCCAGGTTTTCTTTCTGCCTCCTATATATCCCGATAGCATGTTGAAGAAGCCTGTAACTACCTGTAACTACTGTAGTTGCCGTAACAACCTGTAACTACCAACAGGCACAGACTCCCCCACCCCCAAAAAAAAGCCTCAAGAAAATTCATCTTCCTCTAGCCAAAGGACAGGTATAAGAACAGCCAACAGAACAGAAAACTTTATTTAAATATTATCTGCCCAACTGTTACCAAAGACTAAAGGAAAAACTGCATCTGCGGTGTTAATGGGGCTGAAGGGGGTAGCTGGACTTATACTCCCACCTGTGGCAATGGGGCAGAACAAGTGACCCTAAGCTTTCCCCACAACAGTAATGTCAGCAAGGCTGAATGGGCAGTTTAATTTCCAATCCCACAAGACTGCAAAGAGAAGAATAGAGTGGTGCAAAGGTGGCGCTAGTGGGCAATACTCTATCTTTAGGAATAGCGTTGGCAGGGTCAACACCCAGCTCAGCAGCAACTAAGTAGTTCAAGTAGGCCATTTGCTTTCACCCACCCTGGTATCATTAGTCCCAGGAAGGAGCTGAACATCCAAACCTACCTGGATATACATACTATATCTAAACAGGGTGACTATTTGCAAAATGAATATTAAATAGCATCCAGAATCTCTCAACATAACTCAAAATATCCAGGACACAATGGAAAATCACTCATGATACCAAGTACCACAAAAATCTCAACTTCAATGAGCAAAGAGAATCAAAAGATGCCAACTCCAGGCAGACAAAGACATTAGGATTATCTAACAAGGATTTTAAAACAGCCATCATAAAGATTCTTCACTAAGCGATTATAAACATATTTGAAACAAATAAAAAAAGTAAAAAGTCAGCAAAGAAATGATATAAAAAAGAACCAGATGGAAATTTAAAAACTGAAAAATACAATACACAAAAGTAAAAACTCACTGAACTGATTCAACAGCTAAATAAATATGATGGAGGAAGGAAATCAGTGAACTTGAAGATAGAACAATAGAAATTAACCAACCTGAGTAACAGGCAAAAAATAAGGGGAAAAATGAACAAAGCCTCAGAGATCTAGTAAGAATAACAAAAAATGTATTATTCATATAACCAAAGTCCCAAAAGGAGAGGAGAAAGAGTGAATGCAGGGCTAAAAGAGTGTATGAAGGTAACAGCTGAAGACTACCCAAATTTGGTAGAACACATGAGCCTACAGATTC